AATAAATTGGGCGCGAGTATCTCAATGTATCAGGCTTGCTGCAACGAGTTCGTCCATGTATGTTTGATGGTCCAATTTTACAGTATATGGGAAGCCCTATTTTGAAGCTTCTGAAACCCTAGGTTTCATCAATGGTAGATTTCGATTCAAGCAGTTTTAGAACAATTAAACTATGCCAAACGCTTCAGGAAGATGTCAGTAATGCAAATCAATGAATAAAACATATGAATGATGCGTAGAAATTGAAATTCGATTATGGAATATTTGTGAAGAAACGTGATTCAGTTCTACCGATTCTTGGAGTATGGGGACTTGTTCTTGATGCCAATAGCTTCCTGGAAGGTCCAGCAACGTGTTGGAATACTTTTTATGCTTTGAAACGTACTCCAACTATGAAATCAGTTTCAAGCTTTTTGTTAAAATTTTGCCATTTGGTTATGGAGCATGAGCAGTTTTTTCGTGTCCCTCTGAATTAGGTTTCACTCAGCCTTTGTATGTGAACGAATTTAGGTCAAGAAAGAGCCCATGAATCCATTGAATTAATGATTTGGATATTTGATTTTCAATTATGTATTTCCAATCTTTTTTTCATGAAAATCTTGCCAAATGTGGATGATCTTGTCCCCTTGGATGATGCACGAAATCTTTAGCATATAATGAGTGTATTTGCTGCACAAAAAGATTTGAAAAAGCATTATTTGATATTTTCTCATAATTAAATCTAATTAAATGAATTAATAATAATAAAAATTCAATTAATTAATTAAAAATAAGAAAATGAATCCCTTTGAGCTCAATGGGTCGTGCATAGGCTTTGGGTAATGATTCAAGGAAGAATTTGAGGCCCATTAGCAATTTTGAAGTGTTTTAGGCAAAGTTGACTTTTGAAAATTCCCAAAACTTTCCCAACTTCTCCAATGCATATCTTGCTCAATTTTGAAGCTATGATCATGTTCTTGGACATTTTGGAAAGGTCTTGAAGTCCTCTAACCAATGCCTTTGGTCCCATGTCATTTTGATTTACCAATCTCAAGTTATGGTCTTTGACTTAAAGTTCCTTTTTGTTGACTATGTTAGGAGGCAATTGGACTGTGCAACTTTTGAGAGATTTTGAACCATTTAGAGATTGACCCTGACAAGTCTTGAAGAATATGGGAGGGCAAATTTTGGGGTACAACAGTTGCCCCTATTCAATCTTCTTAGACCTGAGGATGTAGATTGGTTGGCGTGCCTTTCGTAATCCGAAGGTGGAAGATGATTGAACACTAGAGTGCCCAGAAATTTGCACTCACATAGTTGCGTATCAGCAGTGCGATGGCGGGAATGGGCTTACAGATGCCATTTGGAGAGATGATGGATAGCAGGATGGGCTTATAGATGCCATCTGGAGATGTGACAGAACCTTATCGGGAATGGGCTTATAGATGCCATTTGGAACTGTTGGTAGGTGGATGGGCTTATAGATGCCATCTGGAGGTTGTCTGTTGAATTGTAATTTTTGTAAGTTGAAAGAGGGAACCCGTGTAGGGTTGCCCGTTGATGAGCTCGTGTAAGACTGCATCTTTTGAAAGAAGGAAACCTGTGTAGGGTTGACTGACGATGAGTCCGTGTAAAACTGCATCTTTGAAAGAAGGAAACCTGTGTAGGGTTTACGGATAATGAGTCCGTATAAGACTGCATCTGAAAGGGAGAAGGAACCTGTGTAGGGTTACTAATGACGAGTCCGTGTAAAACTACGTCCTGGAAGAAGTAAAACCGGGGTAGGGTTTCTAATGACGAGTCTGTGTAAAACTACGTCCGGAGAGAGAGAACCTGTGTAGGGTTTCTTTGGGATAAGTTCGTGTAAAACTTCTGGAGCACTACTAAAAAAAACATTTGAGAAAAGGTTTTTACATCAGGTATCAAAATATATGATGTAAAAAATACAATTAACAAACTTTTTACATCAGGTATTTATTTGCAATGATATAAAAAATATGAAAAAAATATATTTCGCTACCTATTACATCGGGCAAACGCATCCACCGATGTAAAAAGTTTTCAGAAAAAAATACGGTGGCATTTTTGTAAATAAGAAACAAGGTAGTAGAAATATTAATAAAAAACATGCAACATATTACATCGGTTGACTAAAAACCGATGTAATATCTTCACAACAGATATTAATATAAAAAATAAATTAAAGAATAAATTAATTTTTTTGCAACTTATTACATCGGGTATTACAATGCACCGATGTAATAGGTGCATTGTAAAAAAAAAGTCAGAAAAAAAGCTTGCCAACCCTTACATCGGGTATTACAATGCACCGATGTAATAGGTGCATTGTAAAAAAAAAAAGCTTGTCAACCCTTACATCGGGTATTACAATGCACCAATGTAATAGCCATCCAACCCTTACATCGGTTATTACAATGCACCGATGTAATAGGTGCCAAACCCTTATTTCCCAAACAGTAGAAAAATTACAACTCCATCGTTATTCTTCCACCACTCCATCGCGCTGCGCCTCCTCAACCTCGCTTCCGATTCCGATTCTGCATGCCCGCCCGATTTCGATTGCCAACCGTCTTCATCACCATCACCGCGACTTTTCAGCCGCCGTTTCGGCCGATTCCGATTGCCCCTTTTCGGTAATATTCTTTGACCTCCGTTTCGGCCGCCGTTTCGGCCACCGTTTCCGGTCTTCCTCTTCGACCGCCGTTTCCGGTCGTCCTCTTCGACCGCGATGGTTCTGTTCGTTCGTGTTTCATCGTTTTCGACCGCCATTGATGATGATTTTTGTTGTGAATTTGCAGATTTGTTTGATGAACATAGATGATGCGGTTTGTTGAAATTTGATTACGTCTCCTTGCCGCCGTTTCACTTCGTTCACTCTATTCACGCCGTTCACGACTTTTCACCGGCCGATTCACGCCCTTCCTCGCTTGCCGTTTCAACTGTAAGTCACATTCTTCACTTATTTGAAATAATACTATGTTTGAGATCTGTTTCAAAAGGAGTTTTTGAAAATAAACTTTCAGGAACCGGTTCCTACCTAACAGGGAACCGGGTTCCAAACTTGTTCAAAAATCACTTCCCTGGAATTTATACCAGGAACCGGGTTAACCGGTTCCTGCGTGTTATTTTTGAATTCTGGGTTGTACCTATAGGGGAACCGGGTTTCTACTGTAATGAAAAAAGAAAGGACCAAAATAAATTATTTCAACATCACAATATTTATATGTTGCGTCCTTTTAGTATTATAATAATAATTTACAGCCAAATCCTACTGCCTTGATTCTAACTACAAATATCATAAAACTTGACATAATGATTTTAAAAATATAACTTGACAATTTGATGATGTTTGAAATAGTTCAAAATCACCCTTACATATTGCATATGAATGCTGTATGTTGCACTCCACACTTTACTTTGATTACATCCCTGATCTTCCTGTATGAACATCACTGATTCTGTTCATGTTTTTGGTTCAATTCTCATAAATCTTTCTTGTTTGAATGGATATATATATATATATATGTTGATGATTTTTTTCTGCTTTTGGTTGATCATGCAGACATATCCAAACCCATTGCAAGATAATCCTTCTTATGCAGTTGTCAAGTATGTGATCAATTTCAGTCAAATCATTTGCTTAGCCTTATTTTGTGTGATTATCTTTATATAGAAACACTTGTGCATAAGCAGTTTTCCAATCAATTTCCTATTATCTCTCTGATATCACTTATTCAACAAGGGATTAATTGGAATGTTTGATTCAGTGATTAACCTGGTTAATTCATGTTTCCACAGACAGTATTATGTACATTCAGATGATACCGTTGCGCAGCAGGTAAGTCGTTTTGTAACATTCGCTTCTCTTTCTCATCCTCTATACAATTCTTTCAGTGTTTCCGAGTTAATTATTCTAAATTGTTTCCTTTTTTTTTATAGATTGTTGTTCATAAAAATAGTCCAAGAGGGACCCTTTTTCGACGCGCTGGACCTGCTCAGAAGGTTTTTCTTCTTCTTCTGTTTGATCAAAATTAAAACATCGGCTTGCACATATATATATAATACAATACAAAGTGGATGTATTGCAGGTATATTTTGATTCAAACGATGTGCGTGCTTGTATTGTTACATGTGGTGGTCTTTGTCCGGGATTAAATACAGTGATAAGAGAATTAGTTTGTGGATTATACCATATGTATGGAGTGCACAGAGTTTTGGGAATAGAGGTATGCATAATTTATATGACAGTGCTCAATTTTCTAGATTTTGTTTCATGAAAAGTTGATCTAGATCGTAGAGGTTTGGTTGAATGTAGGGTGGATATAGAGGCTTTTACTCTAGAAATACAATTCCTTTAACGCCGAAGATTGTCAATGATATCCACAAACGCGGTGGAACCATTTTGAAGACATCGTATGGAGGACATGATACTTCAAAGATTGTTGACAGTATTCAGGATCGAGGCATTAATCAGGTTTATATACTTGGAGGATTCAGAACTCAAAATGAAGCAGCTTTGATTTTTGAGGTAGTGACTAATTGACGTAGTTTGAGAACGGATTGGTTAGACTCAAGTGGTTAACAACTTTTAATTATGGTCAAATTGATCAGAAACATCTAAGTTCGATCTCTGACTGAAACAATTATGTGTCAGACTTTACTTACATAGAAATTTTTGGTGATGTACTCAGGAAATTAGAAGGCGGGGATTGAAAGTTGCAGTGGTTGGAATTCCGAAAACTATTGATAATGATATCCCTGTAAGGATCCTTTGACTGAATATGTAAAAGTTCTATTCAATATACTTATTCAATGGTGTTCTGTATTTGAATCAGGTAATTGACAAGTCAATTGGTTTTGACACTGCTGTTGAAGAGGCACAAAGAGCTATTAATTCTGCGGTTGAATCACAATTCAATTCCTGTTCAACCAGTTGAACGGGACTGTTCAGGACTCATGGTTAGTTGTTATGGTGGCATATTGATGCAGGATTTATAGCCATGTATGCAACTCTTGCAAGCCGAGATGTGGACGGTTGTTTGATTCCAGAATCACCCTTTTACCTTGAGGGACCAGGTGGAGTACTGGAGTTCATTGAGAGGAGATTGAGAGAACAAGGACACATGGTTATAGTAATAGCTGAAGGTGCAGGTCAGGAGCTAATTCTTCCTAGTGACAAATCTAATAAGAATAGGCCAGATGCTGCTTCAGATGACTTGTTTCATGATGTTGGTCTTTGGTTATCTCTGAAAATTAAGGTAAGAAATCTCAAAATTTTCCTTTTTTTTTAGTTTTTATCTTACATTAAAATGTTTGTTTCTAACGTAGGATCACTTTTCAAGAAATAAGAAGATGACTATAAATCTGAAGTACATTGGTGAGTTCTTTATTTGGAACTGTATTTGTATTATTGATTAAAGAACAAAATGCAGGGAACAAAAATAAAGAAAATTTGTGTTGCAGATCCTACTTACATGATCCGTGCTATTCCAAGTAATGCATCTGATAATGTGTTTTGCACCTTACTTGCTCAAAGTGCCGTTCATGGTGCAATGGCTGGATACACAGGCTTCACAGTTGGTCCAGTTAATGGCAGAAATTGTTACATTCCATTTCATGTAAGTTACTGCAACTCTTTGATATCACATTAACATAATGTTACATGCAATCAACATAGGCACAAATTGGACACCCTTTTTCTGCACTATGCTTTGTTTTTGCTTTGTATAGGAGCCATTGTATTGGTGCTGTATCATTAGTTTACCATAAGTGAAAATGTTATTTTGTATGTGCAGCTTATAAACGAGGGGCAGAAGAGAGTCGTGATAACATACCGGATGTGGGCAAGGTTGTTGTCCTCAACCCATCAGCCCAGTTTTGTGAATCCTCAACATAACACAGAAGAAGCAAAAATAACTTTACTAATATAACCGAGAATTGGATGCAGGTACTAAAAATAACTTTACTTTGTTATTTACTTTTTATTTTTCGACTTAATATGAATTTTTAAAAATTAACTCTATATTGTTATATTTATGTATTATAGGTATTTGATGACCCAACAGAATTAACACAAGATGATTTGTATGATTTGCGACTTCGTTGAGCAAAATGTTTCTTTGAGTTACATGAAAATTAAGTTTATCTTGGTGAGTTTTATAGAATTGTATAAGTCGTGGTTTTTGCACAATACATATGGTTTTTGCACATTTATTGAGTTTCTTGATTTTTTTGCTGATGTTAATTGTTATTATTTATTGTCAGGCAATGTGATTTTGGTGTTGTCTACCGAAGATTTTATATTGGTAATTTAAGTTTGGAAACTTATAAATAGTTGAATATTTTTGTATATTTTGTGAATAATATGTAATTGTAAGTTTTGAAAAAAGACTTATAAATAGTTGAATATTATTGTATATTTTGTGAAGAATTTGTAATTGTAAGTTTGTTTGTTGTAATACAATACAAGTTTGCAATACAATTGTTCAATTTGTAAGTTTGTTGTAAAAAATATGAAAACATCGACCTAGATGTGATATATGTGATGTTGGAAAGCTATGAAATCTATATAGCGACATAAATATAGTCTGTGTGATATTGGAAAAATATGAAAAAATGGGTATAAATTATATTTGTACAGGGAAACATCCAGAAAATAAATAATGTATTCCAAAAAAATTTCATACATTTTACATCGGTTATTAGTAAAAACTGATGTAAAAACTTTCAAAAAGGGACTTTTTACATCGGTTGGGGATAATAACCGATGTAAAAAGTCGCATCACTGGGGACTTTTTACATCGGGTATTACTTCCAACCAATGTAAAAAATTGGATCAATTTTTTTTAAAAATGTGCATAATAACTGTTTCTTACATCGGTTCATATATTATAACCGATGTAAAAAAGAGACTTTTTACATCGGGTATTACTTCCAACCGATGTAAAAACTGGATCAATTTTTTTAAAAATGTGCATAATAACAGGTTATTACATCGGTTCTGATATTATAACCGATGTAAAAAAGGGACTTTTTACATCGGTCCCAGAACCAATGTAGAAAGTCCCTGATTTACTATATCGCCTAACTTTACATCGGACCCAAAACCGATGTAAAAAGTCAATTTCACCCGATGTAAAAAGTCATTTCTGCACTAGTGGAGGAACCGGGGTAAGGTTACTTGAGATAAGTCCGTGTAAGACTTCTGGAGGAACCGGGGTAAGGTTACTGCAGAGTAGGTTCGTGTAAACTTCTGGATGAATCGGGGTAAGGTCATCTTGAGATAAGTCAGTGTAAGACTTCTTGATGAACCGGGGTAAGGTCATCTTGAGATAAGTCCGTGTAAGACTTCTTCTGAAAATTGAGAAAGAACCGGTGTAAGGGTTGCCTGATGATGAGTTCGTGTAAAACTACATCTGAGGTTGAGAAGGAAAGGAACCAGTGTAGGCTTTCCTGTTGATGAGTCAGTGTAAAACTACATCTGAAATTGAGAAGGAACCGGTGTAGGGTTGCCTGATGATGATCAAGTAGATAATCGTCCTGTCTGGTTTCAGGTATTAACCCACGATCAGTCGTCCACGGGATTTTCCTGGCTTGTTACAGGTGTTGATCTGGAACTGCAAAGGTAGATGGTAATCATCCTTTGATTGACCTTTTCCTGAAAAGGCAAAAACGTTAGCTATATGCAATGTCATGATGCATGAACTGCATGATATTAAGATGTTCTCAAGAATAAATGAGATTTGTGTTGTATGATGCGTATGCATAATGTATGAAGATGTGATGTTTTTGAATATATTTCTGTCTGGGAAAATAAATCCTTGACGAATGTCGGGACCTTGTTGAATCCTGGGCTGATGTTGAAGAGTAGAGTTCTTTGTTTCCGCTGGGGATGATGGTTGCAAAAATGAACCGGTAGGAGAAGATGACTTCGTTGGGGAATAAACTTGGCGAATAGATTACTCTACGGGGAGTGAACTCTGTGGGGAAAGAGAGGTACTTTATTGAGGTTGATGATAACTCCGTTGGGGATATCGTTGTTGAGTTCTGTTGGAAGATTTGATGAACTTCACTTGGGGATAGGAAGACTTCGCCGGGGACGATCTTTTCGTGGCAATTGGCTGAGGATAACCCAGTTATATCCTGGTGGGGAAATAACCTTTGAATAAAGCCGGGGGACGCGTTCGTGCTATGCGGGTGACAAGCTTCCAGAATCTACTGGGGATAAGCTTCCTACTGGGGAGATTTTTGAGATTGCACTGGGAATGGCTCCACTGGATGTCTGGTATACCGCCGGGGAACAATCTTAGATCAAGATTGCCGGGGATGCTTGTTAGGAATGTTTGTATACTCCGTTGGAGAATATTGAAATCTTCGGGGGATAATCCAACTTCCTTAAGGCTGACAGTGGTCTAGCTCTGCTTGGGGGAGAGCGTTGCTGACTTGCTGGAGATACTGTGCCTTATCAGGGCTGACGGGAGACCAACTGCTTGGGAGAGAATTGTTGAATCTTGGCTCACTCTCTGGGGAATTAAGATATCTTGGTTACGTTCTTCAGCCGAACTTACCTTGTACCTGGAGGACAGAGCAGCTTGTGCAATTTGGACCATTCTGATTGCCCCAGCTTCTGTGGGAGAAGGTACCTGTGGAGGTGCTTGACAACTGCCGATTGACAAATCTTCTTCTGGTAGGCAAGTGACGAGATGACGGGACATAGTCGTACGCTTTAATCCCTAATTTTTGCCTGGACCGCCCTTTTGGGTTTTCAGTCCATCGGGATACCCTTTTTTGCCTAAGCCGCCTTTTCAGGTTTTCGACTTGCCGGGTGTACAGATTTTTTTTATTTCATCCCTTATTTTTGCCCGAACCCTTTTGGTTCGCCGGGAAGCCCTTATTTTTGCCTAGGTGCGTCGACCTAGCGGGTCTTTGATTGTGCATAGTATTTTTTCGACTATGTCCACGCTCCCAGAATGCAGGGAGTTGCCCCTGTCAGAAGTGTTTTGTCATGCCACCAGAAGATATTTGATCAGGCAAGATTCTTTGCTGGAATTCATGTTCAAGGCCCCGATTGATTCAGATGGAGATTTTCCCCAGGCTATTTGGCATTTGAGAGATTCTCCGAATCTTGACTTAACTGCCCCAGATGATGGACAATGATCATGTCTGCCCCTTGATTGGAGGTGCTTTTGTTCATTAGACATTCGTCGTGTGAACTTCTATGCTGTTCAAACAAATAGTCATATGCAAGCAATGTTATATTAAAAATTCAAAGCTTATGTCTGTCTTGACGTTTTTGAAAATGCATTTTTCATAAAAACAAGTGAATTTTTTTGTAAACTGTGATGTCAACTCGTTATTTTACCGCAAGCCTTAAGGAGTCAGGATACCTTTGTAACAGTATGCTTTCGAACTAACCCATGCTTCAGCTAGGACTTTTAAGGGTTATAACGTGGCCTGGTTCACGGTTTAAGAAACAAAGGATAAAGGCTCAAATTTATTTGTACCCACCCGTTCTTCGTGATGTTCTTCGATCCTAAACTCAGCTGATCGTGCGTTAGATCTTGTTTGAGTCTTTTGTTCTGATATACCGGTGATGGTTCGGATATTGACAGTTTATTTTGAACAGGCAGTCATTTCTTTTTTTGTTGAGGGTTTGTAGGACCTCTTTCTTTTCGATTTTATTATCCCTGTCTTTTTGCCTGAACTGTTTCTTTTGTGATTACAGTCAGCGGGATGCCCCAGTTTTTGTAAGTCTCCTTCATAGGTTTTGACTTATTGGGCTTTTATTTCTGAGAGATAATGACTGCATGTCTTTATGATTATTCGGAACCATCACTGTCTTTTGCTTTGGAAGGACTTCTTTGGTGCCATTCGTTGTGCACTTGGATCAACTGAGAAGACTACCCTGCCCCAGGTTATGATTAAGGGTTTTAATTTTCGAAAATAAAAACTCCTACTTCTTTGGCTCGAAGGGGTTGACGAGGGATTATCTTCCTTATAACTCCAGTGTTTAGAAATGGAAACAATGCCTGTACCTCATCAACGGGGTTTGTCCAAAAGCATACTGTAAGGATCGTGGTATCGTTTTCGTCATCCTCCCTCAAGAGGCTTAGAATTTTTCAATCAAGAGTTGATCATCACAAACATATGAAAGCAGTTTGAACATAGCGAATGCGAATATATTGATTCAAAACAGACATATGCGATGCATTGATAATGTAATAAAGTTTGCTATGACAATAATTGTTTGAAAAATCAAAGAAAAATACAACTTGAACATTCCAATGAACAAAAGGTCTTCTCGTCTAGGGATAGTATAAGAACTCGACATGACCATCTGGGGTGAATTCCACTGCTCCTCCATCAATCAGGTCCTGGATCTTGTTCTTCAGAGACCAGCAGTCGTTTGTGGCATGCCCCGGACCATCATAGTGGTATGCACATCTTCTATTGGGATGATAAGTAGGAGCAGAGATGTTGGGATTCCGGGGAGGAGCCCTCAGAGTTACCAAATTCAACCTCAACAGTTGTTGTAGAGCTTGAGACAGCGACATGTTGAGCTTGGTAAATTGCCTTCGGGGCTTACTCTGATCAACCCGTTGCTCTGGGCGAGGTTGTGGTTGGACCTGTGAAGTGGTGGAAGCTTGGAGAGGCCTATTCGTTGAACCAAACCTTTGACTTCTTGGAGGCTGATTACTGGTTTGGTCTCCAACCCTGACTACTTGCTTCATAATGTCGTGCTGAAGCTGGTGAGGTTGATGCTGGATTTGTGACCCTGAAGCAAATTGAGGAGCTTTTCCCTTGTCTTCTTGTCTCAAAGGGAATTTAATAATGACTGGCTCTTCAACCTTAGATGTTTGCCCCAGTTGGTTATCCCGAAGCAGTTGGTTGACGAGAACCCTGAGCTCTTCTTGTCTTTGAGTTAAGTCTT